AAATAATTAAAAATTGTTAATGTAAAAATGTCATTTTAAACTTCGTTTAACACTACGGTGGAATCGGCCCTTAGTAAAGTGACTTTTCTTCATAATTTGAGATTATTTTTAAATATATATCAGGTTATGTAGAAACTTTGACATTTATTTTTGAGTAAAAAATTTTATATGAAACTTTACCAACCATTTCTTAGTTTTTATTGTAAGTTTAATCATTTTCACAATTTGTCACAGATGTCAAATAAAAAATATATTTTTTAAATACCTTTAATTGGCAAATAAAATAATAACTAAAATGTTTTAAATGTTTATTTTATAAGATCAGTCCGATCACAATACGTAATATTACACAGACACAAACTAGAATAAAGATATATAATGCCTGGCATTTTAAATGATACTCTTCGCAGTTTAACAGACCCCCTTAACCCCCAATTTTAAGCAGATTGTTTTCACAATCAATAGGCCTCATCTCCTTATAGACCTTGATTTTTACTAAAAATTTCATGTTGATATCGCTTTTCATTTTTGATTTTTTTTTTAATTTCAACCCCCCTTAAATCCCCCATATTTAATCAGATTTTTTTATAATGAGAGGGCTTCTTCTCCTTTTAGAGATTGATGTTTGCTAAAAATTTCGTTTTTCAGTTAGGATTTTTTTTTATATTTTAACCCCCCTTCACTCCCCAATATATTCATATTTTTGTCAGTATCAATAAGCTTTATCTTTTTATTAAGCTTTATTTTTACTAAAAATTTCATATTGATATTGCTTTTCGTTTTTAATTTAGGATTTTTTTTTAATTTCAACCCATCTTAACCCCCTATTTTTAATCAGATTTGTTAAAAATCAATAGGCTTTGTCCCCTTATAGAGCTTGATTTTTGCTTAAAATTTTCAAGTTCATATCATTTCTCGTTTTTGACTTGCAGACAAAAAACGTGACTTCGGACAGACAGACAAAGTAAACCTATAATACTCTTCACATAATACTGTATGAAGAGTAGAAAAAAAAAGTATACGGTAAAATAAACAATTTAAAAAGTTCAACAATAATATTCAATTTTGTAACCTATTTTTTTCTTTTGACAAATAGTTTAGGTTATATACAGCACAGCAGCTCTACCGTCGGTGGCATGAAGGTGTGGGTAAGGATTTGTTATCTTGAAATTTAATTATTTTAAATTGACTTTAGATACACTTAAAAAAAATTCAAAAAAGAGTATTTAAACCATAGATGGACGCAACTGAATTTTTTATAGATTAAAAAATTTGGTATTATTTGATAAAGAAGTTTTTCAAATCTAAAGGTAAATTCAGAAACCATATAATAATTAAACCATAAATACATGAATCTGCAAATAGACACTTGTAGATTATCATGATATTTTGTGAAATAAAAGTCATACATAATTTAAATTGAATGTAATAAAAAAATTAATGAAAGTGATATATTAACAATATTTTCTCAAATTGTTCGATGAGCATTAAATTATACAAACGTTCTTTGCTCAAAAGAGAAATAATGGTATATTACCAATATTTACCCAATTCATTTGATGAATCAAACTCTAAAAGTAATAAAATTGGACGTATTTTCTCAATCCACTTATCAACATTTAAATTTGTAAACGGGAAACAATATAATTGAAAATACTCATTTCATTTTTAAACAGTTAAATTTATAATCAATAGAAATTGTGTAATTGAGAATATCTTCTCAATTCATTCGCCAATAGTTGGAGAAATATTTGAATAATAAAATGACTAGGTTTATTTATACCTATCCGAGACGTCTTGTTAAAATTAAGGTATATTGTTTTTAGTACTCAAAATAATATTTACAAACTGGTTGTAAATAAAAGAAACAAAAAGTATTCTTAAAACTAAATCATACAGAAAATAAAGAAACACCCGTTTTAAAATATAAGAACAAGTGTCTAAATAGACATTGCGATGTTAAAATTAAAGAAAAAATAATAAATACCAAAATATAATCCTAGGTCTGAGAACAGCACTAGAAAGAGCCTTCTGTTAGACTACACACTGCACACCGAAGCTCATCATGTTACAGGACTGCTTGGGGCACGGGACCATCGTAAGAACGTTTGAAATAAAAAGGAAATCTCTGCTTCGCAGGGTAAATAAAACGGACCAGCATATTGGCAAGACAGAATTTCATTCTGTAGCTTTCTGAGAATAACCACCCACGGTTGATGTGGCTCTCCTGTTTATCCACGGGAAGAACCCTATATATATATTAAAATATGAGTGTTTTGCCAGACAAAGAAAATGCAGGAGTAGCAAAGGAAATGACTCACCTCTTTTGAGGGTTTTCTCTGCTACCGGGATCCAGTAACACGTAGAAGAAAGTATCTTTCGGCCTTCATCTTCTTCCAAAAATCAAATCGGATAGGGCCGAAAGAAAAACAAGTCATTTAAAAAAAAAGTGACGGTTCGATCATAGAACTGACAAATTTTTAACGAAAAATGTTTCCAACCTATTAAGACCAAAAAGAACTAGTGTTCAGCCAGTTTTTCGTGTCTCATATTTATGGTCAAATATAATTAAAGAAAAATATTAATTATGCAAAATAAAAGAAATGGAATGATAAAATATTAAAATATAACCCTTACTCTATTCCTATGGTTATTTACAAAATTATGCTGTGCCTGTAGACAGATCAAACAAACGTGTGAATTGTACTAGACTGGCAACACTAGTTTGACAATCTTGTTTGTGAGCGGCGCGCCAATTAATGTGTTCTTTGACAGTTTGAAGGATCTGTTGGCGTGTTGTCTTCTCTTTTTAGCTATATGAATTCGGCATATCGTCTCACTCGTGTTAGACTCACTCATCATAATGCGCCACAGACACAATATACTTAAGTATACTGTGACAGAGACGCGATCAGCCAGAAGACAATGATGTACAAAAAAATATAGATTACCATGTATGAAAATAAAAATATCAAAATTAAATTTATATTTTGATGTTATTTATGTAATATTAAAATAATGTGTTTTAATGAAATTGAACTGGGTGTTCACTGTACAAATGAATCAATGGAGAAACCGCCCCTGATTAACATATAGAAAAAGGCATTTAGGCAGATCAATTTAAAATTGCAATAATGAAACCTTTACACAAAAACGGTGACAGATGCACACTATCCAACTATAGACATATCAATATCTACTACTTCTATAAAAACATTTGAAATACATATTTTCAAAAGTAATAATTTTTTTTCTTATGGCGACAAAACTACTTTAAAAAAGCATTTTATTTAGTTGCATGAATGTATTTTTTTAATTGTAGCTAAAAATTTATTTGTGGTAGCAACAAATTGCTCAACAAAACACTTTTTAAATATAATTTTATCAGTGTAGATTATTCGTTTGTTGCACTGTGCATTGGTGGTACAACACAATAAATTAAACGTATTCATTTTTGCATTATTACTGAAATAAAAAATGTTAGCTTCTAATAAGAATAAGAAAAACATATTTTTGGTACATAACACGTATCTTTTTATGAGTCTCATAAATAGGATATATTGCGGAAAATAAAAATTTGTTCGAAACAGATCTCTATAATGTGTGCGGTTTGTGTGTGTAAGGATTAAGCGTGCAGACGGTAAAGAGATAGCGGTCGCATAAAAGGGCCGATAATGCAGGGATTTCAGATATCGATGGCAGCTTGATGGATTGCTTTACGGATTGTAAATCACATATAATCTAACATAAATTACTGTTTGATTGTTGATATTACGAGATCAAACATTCTTGGAATATTAAATGAGGTAGGTATATTGAAATGGTTCAATAACATTTTGAGCCACTTTTAAGAAAATCATTTATAAATAACAATCTGATAGGAACAGTTGGACAAATTATTTTATCTAATAATGTATTTTTAACACATTAAATTATAGTTTACTTCTAGAATAACATTCTATTGAAGTTTGTCCACTAAAAGTTGCAACTACGCAATTTATATCGAATAGATAATTATTATAAACCGAGTTTTAAATAAGTATTTACTATTACACTAAGAAACAATTTGTTGATATTAAAGAAAATTAATTAACAGTTAACAGATAATTTGTGTTGGATAAGTTACATAATTTTAATGGTAATTAGTTATTGTATATCTCCATAATAATAAAAAAATATGATTGTATTCTAATATTTATTGTACCTAATTTTATTATACCTGTTTGTAAATGGAATCACAATGTTTTTAATATTTACAAAACACTATTCATAAAACACCTGGTTAATAAATATATCTTAATGTAACTTTTGTTTTGTTTAAATTAGTATAGTACAACGTATACAGGGTGGGCCATTAGTGCGTGGGTGGAAGATTGCGGGTTTATTAAGGTACATTTTTTAAATTTATTTTTGGGGCATAATGTACGATCTCTAAGGCTAAAACTAAAAAATATTTTCGATGAAATTCCAATTGTTCTACGGGGTGATTTATATCAAAGTTATGTTTTTTAATAGGAATTTAAATTTAATTAATGTAGAATCACGAAGACATATTTCTGATATAATGTTTATGCACAGAATACTTAATCGTCAAATAGACTGCTTTGATATAATTATTCTCATTCAATTTAATTGTCCCAATTATAATACTAGAAATATTAATACATTTTTTCTTAACAAGGCAGCAACCAACTGCTATTTAAATGCTCCCCTCTGTAGAAAATTAAAAACTTGTAATCAGTTGTCAAATATAGTTAACGTAGATATTTTCTTTCATAGTTTTATGTTCGTAAAGAAAGCACTGTTAAAATATTTTCTAAATCTCTCTTGTTGATAGTTTTTATTCTTTATTTTTGAGTAGGTATTATTGTAAATGATATGATTATTGTGGTGGACACTTTCTTTGGTCTAGTCCTGTCTGTCTCGAAAAAAAAAAACAATAAAAATAAAAATAATACTTCAAATTAAGATTAGAACAAGATTCTCATAGACAAACTTACCAGGTGAACGTTCTTTAATATTTCCATCGTTCGTCCTAAATGATGATAGGTACCTAGCACCCCCAGATATAATTGGCGATCCCCATACATTTCGGCAGTAAGTAGCGAATCCACTTGGCGAGGGAAACTGCATCGGTGATCTATCAAAACCTTAAACAAAATAAAAATTAGAGTCACCACATGTATTCAAATTTAGAGACCGTTTCTACAGTAATTTGACACTAGGTTCATAACTAAAAATAATTTGTCTTTCCTTTTTTATAAAATTCAATACCTAATGTGGTATTAGCCAAAAGAGCAGTTTTTCCTAAAGAAAATGGGTCGTTTGAATTATTTTGTGACATATCACTTTGTCTTCTCTATGTTGTCTCTATATTTTCTTTTTGTTTTGTCTATTTATGATTTAATTTTGGTTAATAGTGGGGTGGATATGCAATTGTACATAAAGGAAGCATTAAAGTATTTGTTTTTTTTTTTAACGATGTAGATGGAGACGTAAAGAGAGTAGAAGAAGAATTGATAGAATGATCGACTATAACTCTTCCTTTTAATAAAAATGTATAATGTTCTGTTCTATTACAATATACATTAATTTTGCAATAATAATTTTTTACAATAATTTGAATAAGAACCCATTTTCATTTCCAATGTCTGCGATCGTTGCAAATCTGTTAATTTTTCTAATAAATACTAGTTGACAGATATTGTGTTTTCCTTCTTCGCTGAATTTATTTTGGACCACTTTAAGTTAGTATGGATAATATTTGGAGTTTAATTATTTATTATTTGACGTTGCCAATGCTGGACAGATTTATCATCAATTTTTCAGCTGCTTTGAGGACGTACATTTGCCGGAGATGAATCAGAAAATAATCTCCTGTGGCGAAATTGGTCAGGATTATATTTATCGATTTCTACCTATTCTTAATATCAATTATTAATATAAATTGCTTAATGCTCGTCGGTAACATGTACACTTAAAGATTGACTAGAGGGGAAAATAATAGTAAATAGGAGATTTATTTTGGACAGAATGCAAGCGGAGATTATGAAAATCATATTTTTATAAGAGATTTATGATTAGAAAGTACATTAATAATAAAGAAATATATCGTATGCAAGGTTTACAGAAGATATACTTCAAGTAGGTAGGTATAGTTTGGGTTATTATTTCACATACCGAGTATAATAATATAATAATAAATCGTTTATTGTTTACCACATAAAATAAATATACATCACAGATAAATATTAAAGCCAATAAGTAAAAAAGGATAGGTCTACTGACTAATTCTTCCTCGCCATCATTTAACAAAAAAATTAAAAAAGAAAAATCCCCTCCCAAAGATAACCTTAATATAATTGGAAAATCGGACAATAACTATCTTCTGATCATTCCAAGATCAGACAGAACCATCCATTCTCTGAATTCCAACATAGAGTACATCAAAGATGTTTTGGGAGATACAGCTGTTAGGATAGCGTAAACTCAGGTGCAGAGCTACCTCGTTTCCTAACCTATGTGTCATACCTGAAATGAACACTCAAAAATTACACAGTTAAGAAACTGCTCAGCTCCCCAATTGCCAGCAATAGGAACGCTGCCAACCTGTAAGGATATAGCCCCTTACTGCTAAAACAGACAATTGAAGATTGACCGGGATTCATCAAAAATGTCAAAATTCAGTAAGAAGACAAAAGCGTAAATTATATTCCAAAACATCTTCACCCTACCCTGATCAGACCACAATAATTGAAAAATGAGGATGAATTAAAAAAAAAGAATGGTAAATAAAACGTTTTATCTACATTTATGGTCAGTAATTTTGAGTTAAGCCAATTTTGCATTTCAGGAAAATCATTCATCACCAGGTTTTTAATATTTTGCTATGTATCACTGCTATAGAAAACAGCTGTATCGTCTACAAAGCCCAAAAGCTCACCTTTGGATTTAATTGAAAATAGTTCATTAATGTATAAATTAAAAATGAGTAGGCCTAGAATAGTACCTTGGGGAACTTCATACCTTACCGGTAAGAAATTACTATATGTATTACTCAAGCTAACCATTTGTGTTCTTCCATTTAAGTAGGTTTTAAATAGGTTTAGAGGAATACTTTTTATACCATAGTTCTCTAGAGCAGTGGTTCTTAAACTTTTTTGGTGACGGAACCTTTTTGAAAAGTGAAATATTTGACGGAGCCACAAACATATTTCGGAATATAAAGCCCTCCTTGCTAGGTCCCTCCCGTTTCTTTGCGAAGCCTATACAACAAAATTCTCAAAATTATATACGCCTTCCTCTTTTTGACATCTAAAAAAAAAGGTCGTCCAGCCGAAAATACCAAATCATCTACTCCCTTCCTCTTCCTGACCTCTAAAAAAAAGGTATACTCCTTCCTCTTCCTAACCTCCAAAAAAAAGGTATACTCTTTCCTCTTCCTGACTTCTAAAAAAGAGGTCCTCTATCCCAAAATACCATATCATATGCTGCTTCCTCTTCCTGACTTCTAAAAACAAAGGGGCCTCTAACCCAAAATACCAAAACTCATATACTCCTTCTAAAAAAACAATAGGTCCTCAAGCCAAGTCCCGTTGTAGCGATAAGTACTGCTTATTTTCTTCGCGGAGCCCCCACAAAGGCTTTGCGGAGCCCAGGCTCCGCGGACCACACTTTTAGTAACGCTGCTCTACAGCATCAACAAGCAAAGGATAACTGACGGTGTCAAAGGTCTTTGAGAGGTCCAGAAACATGCAAAGACAAGGTTTGCTTCTGTCAAGAGCATTGTTAGTTTTTTCTGTCGGGGCCAATAAAGCATCCTCAGTAGATTTCTTTTTTCTAAATCCATGCTGATTTTCGATATGATGAACTAATCTTGTCTATGGCATTATTATAGTAAAATAATGTATAACATATTTTTTAAATAATTTTTTTATAAATAATTAGAATCAATTAAAGAAATACATCTAGCCGAACTCAAAGTACCACAGATTTTCCAAGTAACTAACGCTAATAAAATTATAAATCGATAATCATTATGAGTAATACCATAATTAATATTATCAACGTTTTATCTCGAGTCATATTTTCAAATATTTAATGTTCAGTAAAAGGTGTTGTCAGATTAGTGAATCACTGCAATAAAAAAATCGTCTTGCACAATCCGGTTATTTAGATCAGCTTCACCTTATTTCTACTACAAATTTATGGTTTATGGTTTAAAACATACCTGGAAAATAGAAATCAACAGGTGTGGGCGAATGGTAAGGATTGTACAAATATACCAATAAGCAGTGTTGTACCTCAAAGTTCAGAGTTAGGTCCAATTTTATTTTTTATTATTCATCAACGATACAGACTTAAAAATAAGTGGTAGAATTACTGTCTTTGCCGATGACCAAGTGTAACATTGAATAATTTTGACATGCACACATTATCATAAGCAAATATCTAGTGACTATTAAGTCCTGGTCTAATTCGAGTGTGCTTTGTTTCAACACCAGTAAAACTGTATAGCATTGTCTTATAGAGGTACTTTACACTCTAAACAACAACATGATTCTAACGGTGACATTAAGTTATTAGGTCTTTATATAGACAATTTCCTAAAATCGGTTTCTAAAAAGCTGACCTTTTCTTCTGCATTACAAATCTCATTACGAATCTCACCTATGGTTTACGTTTCTGGGGTTCTTGCAGCTTGTACCTCTTCGAAACTATTTTCAAATTACAAAAAGAGCAATTCGTTATTTATTTAATTTAAGTAGTAGGACACATTGTGTAAATTGCTTCCCAACTCCGACTTAATACGGAATTCTATTACCTACAATGCCAAAAAATTGTATTATAATCTTCCATTACAGTTAAATGATAAGTTCCTAAAATCGACTATACTAAGGCTTTTCTTCTAGAAAGGCCATATTATATAGTAGCAGAATTCTATAACGTATCATAGGCTTTTGGGTTCTACATGCAGGAGTATTAAAATTCTAAAAATGAGACTTTAAAATTAAAAATGAAATTATAATGACGGATATTGCATATCCATCTCGCTTTAGCTCTCCCTTTGGAACCATCCGTATACCACTGAATCGTATGTCTGTCGGTTGCAAGCACAATTTACTCTCCATTCTTTTTTGCAGTCAGGCTGATTACTTTGTTCCTGATCATTATATATCTAATCCTTTTGCCACGTTCTCTATCATTAAATGAAGAGGGGTGAAGTTTAAGATCACCTACAGGTTCTCATTGCACTGGTGGTGCAAATAAGGCTAGTCTTTGTACTTTTAAAATGTTCTAATAGTAGCTATATTTTCTGTTGGTCCAGGCTACAGCCATGTAAGTGATGGTTGGTCTCACTATTTCTGTATACTTTTGTTGCCTCATTTACTACTTCCTTCTTATGTATGTTCCAGAGAAGTTTGTTGTCAAGGGTTAGGCTTAGATGTCTGACTTCTTTTTTTTTTTTCATTATATATCTATTCCGTATAATTTAACGGTTTTGAGATTGAGTTTTCTTTTCCTTGAAAAGGCTACTAGAGTTGTTTTGGTGAATCATCATCTTTAGGTTGGTTCTAGTCCTCTTTGTATTATATCACACAGAGTATTTCCAAATTTGCCTCTAGCAAATATGACTATGTCGTCGGCATAACCTCGACCTGTTTTTTTGTTTTTTTGTGTTTTTGTTTTTTTGTTTTTCTTGTTTTTTCTTTTTTTTTTCTTTTTTTTTTCTTGTTTTTTTTCTTGTTTTTTTTCTTGTTTTTTTTCTTGTTTTTTTTTCTTGGTTTTTTTCTTGTTTTTCTTGTTTTTTCTTGTTTTTTTCTTGTTTTTTCTTGTTTTATTCTTGTTTTTTCTTGTTTTTTCTTGTTTTTTCTTGTTTTTTCTTGTTTTTTTCTTGTTTTTTCTTGTTTTTTCTTGTTTTTTCTTGTTTTTTCTTGTTTTTTCTTGTTTTTTCTTGATTTTTCTTGTTTTTTTCTTGTTTTTTTCTTGTTTTTTCTTGTTTTTTCTTGTTTTTTCTTGTTTTTTCTTGTTTTTTCTTGTTTTTTCTTGTTTTTTCTTGTTTTTTCTTGTTTTTTCTTGTTTTTTCTTGTTTTTTCTTGTTTTTTCTTGTTTTTTCTTGTTTTTTTCTTGTTTTTTCTT